ACTTTCTATACAGAAACAAGTTGCCCCAGAAGGGACAGGGAGAAGTATATAAACAAGTATGTGGGCAGAATTGCCAGCAGCCAGAATAGACTTCATGACAATTCATTCTCTCCTTGTAAAACTCCAGGAAGGTGTGGAAAGGGAACTGACTCCAATGTGAATGTCTCTTTTTTAACCTTACTCAACACACAAAGACACTATTTCATCATATGTAATGATATGTCTGCAAGCAGGTGATGGTTTCAGAGCTTATTTTAAGGATCTCTGGATACATGCATAGTTATATATCATTCAATTTGTCAGAATCCTGATTGCAACAAAATTGACCTCCAGCCAGATGTTCATTCTCATGTTCTTGTACAGACTACATGTAATTGAAATATGGAAGGAACAAAATGGGTAAAAAGGAGCATGAAAAGTTTATTTTCTTCCTCCCTTCTATTCCCTATCAACTTGTCCTCTTTCCCCATTAACAAAGAGAGTGTGAGAAATAGAGAGCACCCTAAAGTAGAAGGGAGTTTGTCAAATTGCCTTTAAGTGTCTGGAAGTCTTTATAAAATGAAATCACTGTTCTCTGAAAGATAATTGGCATCTCCCTCTACTAATTTTCATCTCTCCTCAGACCTCTGTATACAGAGAGGGAGCACTTTCTCTATAGAAAGGAGTGATGAGTCATTGCAACATGACAAATAATGAGGAAAAGAACACAGAGCACAACAACTAGTCTTGGATGGAGGTAATGTTGATGCAAAGTGAAAATTTGAGATTATTAATTGAATAATTTTCAATTAATTAAAATAGAATTTTCTAATATTCTTGATAAGTGTAGCAAAAGGGGCTATAAATTCATTGCAACACATTTCTATTTCTTCTTAGGCACCCTCTAAACAATAAATATTATTTCCCTTCTTTCCAGCACTGCATGCTGCCCCTGTGACAAGTTGTTAAAGAAGGTGTGTCCCCCTGTATCTTCTTCCACCACCTACAAGCTGGATGAAAAGACTTCAAGGGCATAGAGGAAGACCAGGGATGATATAAGATATATAAATTTCAAAAAGAAATTTCTATAAATAAGAAGTATAGTCTACCTTAATTGGAAAAATGAAAAGACATTATCTGTCTACATTGAACTTATAGTATCGTTCAAATGACTTAGTTAAAGCACTGACTTGAACTTGTGAACTAAGTTCTTAATGCATGTTCTCCAGCAAAGAATATCAGCATTACTTGGAATTTTAGTCAGCTTTTCGTCACTGTCATAAAATGCCTGAGATAATCAATTTTAAAATAGGAAGGTTGGTTTTGGCTTTTGATTCAGAGGTTTCAGTTCAGTTCATAGTTGCTTGGCTCTGCTGCTTCGGACCTGTGGTGGCACAGTGTGGCATGGCAGAAGCATGTGGCAAAAGATGCCTATTTGTGTCATGAGGGCCAAGAAGGAGAGGCGGGGCGGGGAGGGAGGGAGGTTGACTGGCATTGCAGTATTCCCAGTATACCCCTCTCAAGGACATGCCCCTGATGATGCAACTTCCCTCTGCTAGGCCCCAAAGTTGAAGCACCTCCCAATAGTGCCACAGGCTGGCACCTGAGTCTTTAAAAGATAGACCTTTGGGGGACACTCCAGATCCAAACTAGGGCATTCTGCCTGCTCTTGGCTCCCAGAGGCTCATGTCCATCTCAATGCAAAGTACATTTAGTCCATCTCCAAGAGTCCCCCAGGTCTTAACAGTTCCAACACTGCTGAAAATTCCAATTCCAAGGTCTCCTCGGAGACTCAAGGCAAACTCATCTGTGAGCCCTTGTAAAAATCAAAGAAAAAGGTTACGCACTTAAGGGAGGAATAGGAATGAAAAAGGAAGGATGAGACCAAAGCAAGACCCAAACCTAACAGGGTGTATGTTGGTAGGTATAGCTTCCTGTCTGGCATCGGGGACACATGTTACAGCATTGTGAGCTCCAAAGGGCTAGGGTAGCTCTGTGTATGAGACCTTACTGGCTGCAGCCCACATGGCCACTCTCATGGGTTGGCTTTGCTCAGTGCCTACAGTTTTCCTTGGCAGGTATTCCATATTCCTGGCATCTATAACTTCCAAGGGTTCCATTGTAGCTTTGGCTTCAGTCTCACAATTTTACTATGCATCACCCTATCAGAGGCTGACTTTGGGGACTCTGTACCTGATACAAGCTGATTAGTCTCACAAATTTTCCTCTGATAACCCAGTGGAAGTTTCCATAACCCTTAGCGTTTGCATTCAGCATTCCTGAAAAACCAGTGTATGTGAATGATGCCAAGATCTGCCACCAGTGTGAGCTGTATCAGGGTCCATTGGAACTACAGCTGTAGTGGTTTCTGAGTGCTTTGATGGCTGAATATGGGGAAATGAATTTCAGGGAAACAATTCCCTAGGTGACTCTGTATAAGCAGGATATCCTGAGGTTCTACTCTTCAAATGAAAGTTTTTTTTTAAATGAATTTACACCTTTACACTTTTGAAAGTGTGATGGGTAGGGTCTTGCCAATTCCCTCAAGGAATTCTTATCTTCCCAGTGAAAAGTACTTGTCTTCTTTTGAATGGCACTAATCTCTTCAGCAACTGGACCATCTTTGGCTGGAACTTTATACACTTTTTTTTCCCCCTGAGTATTAAATACTTTCTGCAAGCATGAAAAATCTTTCCATTTAGTTCTCTGTACCCCGTTCTTGCTATTAATCTGGTTAAAAGCAACCTGGAATTGCCAAGCAACTTCCTGAACACTGTGCTGCCTTGAAATTTTCTCTACCAGATAAACTTATGTGTCACCTTTAAACTCAGACATCCACAAAGTCTCACAGCATGGGCATAAAGCATTTGAATTCTTTGCCAGAGTGTAGCCTGTGTACTCTCTATGCCGGTTCTCAGTAGAGTTATTATTTCCATCTGCAACCTCAGGAGCACAACCTTTACTGTGTGCATTTCTATCAGCATTTTGATTTCCTGAGACCTCCATTGCCCATTAAACTCCCCTTATGGAACTCTAATCTTTCTCTTTTCTGCTTTTCAAACTTTTCCAGATTCTTCTCACATGCCAATTCCAAAGACTTCTGAACAACACAGGGTCGGGTATAGTCACTACAGTGACCCCATCTTTTGGTAATAATTTCTATGTGTCTCTTAGTCCATTCAAGTTGACAATCATCATTAACCATCACACCTGGAAACCTGTTAGAAGTGTAGATTATTAGATCACCCTTTGGAGCTACTTAATCTGAAATTAAAAATGGAGTCCAATCATTCTGGACCAATAAGTCCTCCTAGTATTCTGACATATGATGAAGTTTGAGAACCACCACTGTCCTGGAGATTTCAGCACTAGGGTAGACCTTGACACATGTTTACAAAGGTAAATGACCCAATGCTTCAAATTCTGACATTTTAATATATTCTTCAGGCATATTTGCAAATATTGAAAGAACAAATTGGAACAAAGGCATTACTGACACTTTGCTTCAAGCCAGAATCAATTTGAAGAGAGAGAGAGAAAAAAAAGACATGTATCATGTTAATGAGAATCAGGTTTGCTTAGTAACTTCCTTGTGGCTGAGACTGAACACTGGGTGTTTTTTACCATTAAGGTAGTTGTGAGATAGAGGATTTGTGTAGGACTGGAAGGAAGTATCAACATTTAACAGTAAGCAGCTTTTTCCAAGGCTATATTTAAAGGTGCTAACACTCCTCCAGAACTTCAACGCTTAAAAAATATTGCATGATTTGCCAACAGTCTCCTGAGCTATCAAGGAAAGTGGAATCAACACTGTGGTAGATGGTCGTATTAGCAAGGAATCCTGGAAGCCCACACAATCAGCCTCTCCTTTGCTTATTTATTCTCAAACCTAAAGGACTATAAGGGACAAATACTGTGTAGCTCCTGCTTGATCTTGAGCATGGCAGAAGACCCCATAAAATGCTTAATCCCCGGGGCAGACTTACTCACTTGGAAGGAAATGAGAAAGGAAAAGCGACGCCATTTGAGCTCTGCTTTCCAACCTTCCCATCAGCACCATTTTGCACCCAGAGGGTCAGGTTTATAAATGACCCCACCTCCAGGATGGTCCTTATTCATGTCCTATCATAGGAGGCAAGATGAGATTTCATGGATCGGCTGGGGAGATTCAAAGGCCTAACCTCAAGGCCATGCAGATCTCAAGTGTGTTTTCCTGACTGCTTTCGTTTCATGTTCAGTTCAAGACAGTTATTCCTTCCTGAGTAGAATTGACTCTCTCTTCCCTTCCCTTACAATGACCAATACCAAGAGGGTGGCCCTTAAGCAAGACAATATATACTGTTGCAAGCATCTGCACAGAGCCTAAGAGGAAAAGATAGGGGGACAAGGCAAGCAAGGCCCACGATGCACTCTATTTGGTCACAAAATTAAAGTTTTACCAAAAAGCTCAATAATCAAGATCAGTGATATTGTAATGTAACATTGTTTTTAAAAATCCAATAAAAATAAAATCATTTATGATGAGAAAAATATAAAAAAATAAAGACAGAGTATTAGTGATTTCTGTTGTACATAGCATAGACAGGGGGCAATTAGGAAAAGTTAAGTTCTGAGGTCAGAATTGCTAGAGGCAAAAAAAGAAGGAACACACACATACACACACACATATATGCACACATACACACACGCACAAAACCAAAGAAGAAAGGAAGAAGAAAAATTTTATGGAGCATGTATAAGTATGAGGCATTGTTTAAAGCATATTACATGTGTTAATTCATTTAGTCTTCAAAACATTATGATGTCAACCCTGTCATTACTAGCACTCTCTAGACAAGGACATGGACCTGGAGATGTTGAGTTCGTTGTCAAAGATCACATAATAAATGGCAAAGCTGGGGTATATAAGCAAAGGCACATGAGCACTCATTTTTAAGGAGCATGAAAGAGGAAGGGAGGAAAGGAGAGAGAGAGAAGAGAGAGAGGAGCCAGGTGAAAATGAAAGCAAGGGAAAGCGGTACCTCGTTCTCTGTGTTCACAGACAGCAGAAGCAAGTTGAGCTAGTGGCTGTTTGATGAAGGCCAGTTTAGCATCTTTGAACAGAAGACAAAAGCATATTGGAGACACTTGCTATCGTGCTGGCACAAAATATCTACTTAATGTTGGTTGTTTTCACATCCTGACATCTCCCAATTGACAAGGAAATGCTTAGCATGCCATGAAATGAACAGGAGCCAGCGCCGAGCAGATGCGGCTACGGTGGCAGATGACGGGGACGGCAGCTCGTCTCTTTATTTGGCCCCCTCCCTCCAAAACCAGTCTCTGTCTCTGCCTCGTGGCCTCTAAATCATTATTTTTTCCACGGAACTCAAGAAATAAAAATACAGATACGGGTATATATTATTTATTCACTTATTTATGGGTCATCTCTGTGTGTATTGTGTAAGTCTTTAAAACCTGACTCGCCCCAGTGCAACAAGAATGATGTCTCAATTGCAGGAGGGGACACGTTGCCCAGGTCTGAGTATGATAGATGGGACGACCTCCCTTGCTTAGTATACTGCAGTGAGGGAAACTGAACAACCCTGAAATTAGAACCGGGGTGGGAGGGGGAGGGTCATGCTGGTGTGATATTACTGGAACAAGATGCCGAGAAAAGTAATTTACTCTGAAGTGACAGTCTGAAGGCGAAAAATAAACTAACAGGAGGGAGTTTAGGCTCATTAGCAGCCTGGTCTCAATATTTCATTATTAATGATAACAAAAAAGAAGAAAGGAGGGAGAAAAGGCGTATGAGCATGTGCACACACCCCCCACCCCCGCCTCCCCACACACACAGAGCCAGCTTGGTGGCTGACAATAGCACAGACTCCAGGATTCCCTATAAGTCCAGGCACAACAAAAGGCTCCTCCAGAGAAAAGGAGGCACCTGGCAGGATGAAGAATGGTTAGCGCTGGTTCAGGTCTGCTTACATCTAAATGCGAAGTGGTGGGGCCCCTCTGCGGGATTCTAGCTGATTTATTAGAATCTCTGCCTCAGGCAATGAAGCCCCCCAACTGATGCTCTGCAGCCCACCCTGGATGAGCAGCCGTGAAGAGGAGGTCACGCTGAGCTGGCCCTGGGATTTCTTGGGCAACCCCCCTCTGGGCAGGAGGCAATCACCCCTGCCTAAGATTATATATTGTTTGCACCTAGACGAGGGAGGAATGAAGATCCTGGGAATCGATAGCTACGGTCTGGCTATAAAAGGAAACAGGATACATCCACAGATTATAGCTAAAGCCTAAAAATACAATTCTACAGTAAGCAACCATGTGGGATTCAATATAATTTAAAACGGCAAAGGAGCTATCAGGTTCTACCTTTTGTCCAAATAAAGAAAATGAAAATTTGTTCTCCATGCCACCTGATGAGGATTTTTCTGTGAATAACTGACACATTTTCCTCTTGATATTAAACCTCATAAGCAGCCAGCCTGACCTGGTCCGTTTTTCTGTTTAGGGGGGATTAGTTTTGAACATGCTAATATGGATTATGATAATATCAATACTGAAGCTCCCTTTCTCTGCTGCAATCACCCAATGGCCTTGAGCAATTGAAAACATTCAAGAGCATCTTTTCTATTGTTTGTGTCTTTTATACTTTATTAACATGACAGAATTATCCAGTTAAGCAATAACTACAAGAAGGTCTATCTACCATTGTGCTGGGCTAGAGCGCATACAAAAATGATCATATCCATGGTCCTGCTCCTCTAGTTTCTTACAGACTATTGAAGCAGTACACACTAATAGCCATGTCAGAACAAATCGTGTTAAACAGCATGAAGAAAATGATCCAAATGCTGCAAAGAGGACGAGGGGTATGAATGCTACTTTCCATAGGGTGATCTCGAGAGCTTTCTAGGAAGAAGGGGCATTTAAGCAGACCTGAAGGAAGAAGCAGCTGGCCTGAAAAATCAGAGGGGAAGAGAGTTCTAAGCAGAGGGACCACCAATGTGAAGGTCAAGATCCAGAAAAGAGCTTATTCACTTGTTGTTCAAAAAGAACAAAGAGGACAGTGTCCTGGAGCCTGGTGCTAAGGATAGAGCAGTGCATGTGACCAGAGGATCATCAGAGGGTGTCCTGGAGTGCCTCAAAGGTCAGAGGAACAGGTTAGATTGTATACTGAAGTTAAGGGGAAGCTTTTGGATTATTTATGTCAAAGAACAGATGTGAATGGATCTACCTTTGAAAAGGGTCTTTCTGGCTGTAGTGTGCACAATGAACTGTGGGTGGGACAAACCTTAGAGCCAAAGGACCTACTAAGTGGGACAGAAGGAGGTAGAAAGTAGTTAGAAAAAACAAGGAGACTGGAAGCGGTTTTTAAAAAAGAAGCTAACAGAGGTTGTAAGAGATTGAAGGAAGTGTCCAGTAGCCCACAGGTGAAGGTATTCTTTAGTGCAAGAGTAACACTGCAGCTAATGAGCCTGGATAAGAACGTGCATTCTCCCCCAGTAGAGTAAACCTTTGGTCAAATCTTCCTGCTTATTTGCCTTCTTGTCAACAACTAGATCTTCCCAGATGCATCTATAGCTCTTGTTCTGGTTGAAATTTTATTTTCATCCTCTATGTCCGAGTTCTCTTTCACTCCTCCGAACCCAAAACTTTATGACCCCTTGATGAGGCAGACAAGCTTCTAGAACAGTGGATATCAGAGTACTGTCCTAGGTCCAGCGACAGTGGCATCTTTTGGAACTTGTTATGATGCCACTTCTTCGGTTCCCAACCCTGATATCCGGATTTGGCAGCTCTGAAGGCAGACACTTGGCCATCTGTGTTGTTACAGCCCCCAGATGATTCTGATTGCCACTGAAGTTTGAGAATCCTGCTCTGTAGCTACACCATCCATACGAGAGTCAATGTGATTCCTGAGCCAGGGACATGGGAGTAGCCTGAATAGAGATGTGTGAGTGATCAACACATCAGATTTCAAAGACATAGTACAAAAATAGAGAGAACTTAATATTTTTCATGAGTCATTTGTTATATTGAAATGTGGAAATATTATTTTCTATATTTGAAGTTAAAATACAGTATTAAAATTAAAACGAATCTCACCTGATTCTTTTTGCTTTTTCAATGGGACTACAAGAAAACTTTAAGTATCATAGTAGTAGAGAATATATTTTTATCACACAGTGCTTCTTTTCCAACCCCAGGTTGCACAAGAGTTACCCAGGAATTTTGTTGAAATGCAGATTCTGATTCAGTAGTTCTGGAATGAGGTTCTGAAATTTTGTGTTTCTTCCAGGCTCCCAGGTGACTGCCCCACTGCTGGTCTGTGGGCCACACTTGGAGTAGTTGGGCACAAACATATGTTGGGGAAGTATCTGAAAGTAGGTCTGGTGTCACTTTGACCTTAGTGGACCTGGATTTTAAGTCCTGAGTCTTGCTCTTATTACTTATATGATTTTTTGGACCAGTCATTTTTAGTAAAAAATGAAGATAATAGAAATACCTTGAAGTATAATTGCAAAGTTAAAAAATAAAAGGGTGTTAATGGAATTATTTTTCTATTATCAAGACCAGACAGAATTATTAATCCATAGCCCCCACCAGAGACATATTGGGTAAATGATGCATAGAAACATTTTCCTTAGTTTCTAAGATAATTCGGGACAGAAGACAGCCTGAGGACTGGGCTATAGCTCCCTGGTAGAGTGCTTGCCTAGCATGTGCCTGGCCCTGGGTTCAATCCCTAATTTGCAAAATATCATTAGACAAGCATTTCTTTCAGAAGCACTTTGTACCTGAGGTCCATGATGACTCTGTCAACTCCCAAAGAGGAAAAATACACAGCTCCAGTTCTCTGTGGATCAGAGCATCCTCAAGACTGGGGGCTCTATCAGATCAGACTTCATTAGTAATTAGCAAGTAACCAGACTTCTAGTAGGAGGCACTTTGTGACCGGAGGGAAAAGAGAACAGAAGTGGCCATGTGACTATGTCATCATTAGGAAGATGGGGAAGGCAGAGAAAGATGCATAAAGCAATAATCCCTTAAAGCACAATTGTTATGCTATGTTGGCAGCATCCATATGGTTAAGATTAGCCTAGCTTTCTCTCTGGGGCTTATGTGCTGGGAATACAAGAAGGTAGGAGAGGATAGGGAGATGCTCAGAAACTGAGCATGGCTTGCATCAAGCACTGTGCTAGGTCTTTGAAATGGAAAATACTACAATTTGATTTGAAAGGAAGGGGAACTACTACCAAATAACCCCTCATTTAGACACCCACAGAAACACACACATGCACACACACACACACACACACACACACACACACACACACACAGTTTCATTTATTCTGTTCCCCCTCCAGCAAGAAGGCACCCAGAGTACAGAGTTTCTTCTTCCATGAAGTTATTGATGGACAAATTTGGAATTCTTGGGCAAGGAGAAAAGATCATCCCTGAGCTTTGTTCAAGCAGCTTTCTCCAGAAAGGAAAAGCCTTTGTTGTTTAGAGCATGATTCCTGCCCTGGAAATTCATATTTACCCTCACTGACAGCACATGTCACCCACGGTGCAGAAAAACTACAGAAACCCAGAACCACAGCACTGAGCAGAAGACTCTGCTCTACTTACAAGTGGCACTAACTCACAGGCAGTGGACAAGTCATTCCTTTTCCCTGAATCTTAGGTGCAACATGCTTGAAATGAGAGTCTAACAAAATGATCCACAAGCTCCCCTGAATCATAGCTGCTTTTCTAAAGGGTAATTATATGCTTATAGGACATGAACCCCCTGGTGGGAGACCTCTTGCAGACAGGTCACATGTGGGTACACTTTGGATAGCTGAAACAATGGCAGAAGGGTGGGGGTACACACAAACACCATGAAAATGTTCTAGAGAATCAATATCTGAGAGGCCCAGGAAATAGGATCCTCTCTGGGACAGCAGATGTGTGCATTTCCCACAGATTTGAAATGAGACCTTCACCTAGGGAGGAAGAAAGGCTTACAAGAGTGGGGCCAAGGAACTGGAGCTGTCTAATGGTGAAGTTTGTGATCAGACCCTTCCTCCTTCATATCCCAACTCCAAGGCAGGAAGTCTTTGTGATCTCATGCCTCATTTGTAATCAACTGTGTTCTTCAAGAAGAACCTGGTATTTGTTTCAAGAAAAAGAAGAAAATTAGTATAGAGGAAGCCTACTATATGCCAAGCACCTTCACAAAGGATCTCATTTAGTCTTTGCAACTAGGGCCAAGACCAGGAAGAGGTCAGTA